CCTAGGCTAATGACCTGTACGTTAATAGCTTATCCTGGAGTAGAGGAAGCGTCCAGGATGGGGGTACCTCTCGGCACCGAGGAAAGGCTCATCTCGGGGACCGAGGGAGGTATGTCGACCGAGGTACATATCAGACCGAGGCCACTGAATGTATGATCCTACATGACGAGTACCTCGGGGGAGAGGACCTTGTGCGCCGATGGTGCTTGATCTTTAGCAAGTGTTTAGTAAAACCGAAGACACATGTCTTCATCATAGGGTATTTCAGAAAAGTCCCATCAATGACAATGTCATACACAAGCAGACACATGCTAAACTAAAAAGGAACACACCAGATTGTAGATGATGGGTTCACTAAAAAGGAACGCACCATTGATACCATCCAAAACAATGAATAAAGAATATACCCCAATAAAATTACTATAATTATGTCAAATAAATAAAAAAAAGATATACCTCAAAAAGATTGCGAATACTTATACAAAGATTTGGTGTTGGCGGGAGTCGTTCTTTGACCAGTGGCATTGGAAGTGAAGGCCACAGGCATACAACATCGTAGGGATTTGACGAAGAGAGACCAGGAGAATTGAAAACAAAGGCCAAAAACTTCAATTGTTTAATTTAACAAGAATTAAAAAAAAAGGGGAGCCGCCTTCTTCAAATAAAGTATTATGGGTCTTTGGTTTGGGTGAGAAGATGGGAACAAAAGCAGAAGAGACAATGGTTGATCAGGGCTTCCGCATGGTTGGAGAATTGAGGAAGAAGAATTCTATTGGTCTTTCAGTTGCCCAAATTAAGAACATCAATTAATGCCTACCGTCCTCATTAAAGTTTATGCGAATTAAAATAATAGTGAGCAGCTCAAAAGTCCCCGATAAGTTATAAATGTGATGATTATATATAATTTAATAATATTATTAATTTTTGAAAAAATTATACTCAGAACGTCTTAGATTTGTCATTTAATTACTCAGATTCTCTGATATTTAAAATATTACACACAGATCCCTTGAGGTTTGTATGCACGTAACAGTTAGACTCTTATTGTAAATATATCCGTTAATAAATTACACTTAAACTATCATGAAATTTGTGGGTATATAATACTTAGACCCTTTGAGTTTAAAATATTATACTTAGACTAAAAATACTCAAATCAAATATAAAATATCAATATTTTAAATTTTACAATCAAAATTTATTTTCTATTATATCATTTATTAAAATAAAATAAAAAATAAAAAATCAAATTTTCTTAAAAAATTGCAATTAGATACAATTATATTGTTTATTTGAATTTAATTTAATCGTCTAAACAACCAAATAAAAATATCAAACTATTTCAATTAAATCTAAAAGATATTGTATCAATTACAATTAGATTCCTTATTTAATTTTTTAGTTTTTATTAGATAGTATAAATATATACTAACTATGTTTTTTTTTTAAATAAATTTTTATTTTTAATTTTATTTTAATAACTGACATAATAGAACATGAATTTTGGATGTAAAATTCATGTTCTATTATGAATGACTTAAACTCATTGTTTATTTTTTTAGCTTTATTCCAATAGGTAGTATAATTGTATATTAATTACGATTTTTTTTTAAAAATATTAAAATTAAAATTTTAATTTTATTTCAATAAATGATACAATACAATATAAATTTTAGTTATAAAATTTAAATATTTTATATTTTATATTTAATTGAAGTATTTTTGGTTTAAGTATAATATTTTAAACTTAAATGAGCTAAGTATTATATATGCACAAACTTTAGGGGAGTCTAAGTGTAATTTATAAACTGATATATTTATAACATAGGTCTAAGTATTATGCACGAACAAATTTTAGGGGAATTATGTATAATATTTTAATTATTAGGAGATTTTCGTGATTAAGTGATAAAATTCAGGAATTTAAGTATAATTTTTACTAATTAATTTTGTTAAAGTTATTTTGGTCAAAAAATTTTTTTTCATAGATATTTTATCTAGTTATACGAAATTAGCATGTATTAATACAGTCTATTCTTTTAGAATGCGGCACCCAGACGAGCCTAGGGGTTTTACGATTTAAAATGTTTTCCGTTTCAAGTCCAAGTGTGGAGCTTAGCTCACGTTAGTGCATTGCAGCGGCGGGAGGTGGTGGTGTTAACAATAGCACACCACCGGAGCCACGAAGACACGTTCGTACCCGATCGCCCGCTGCAAAAATGGCGGGAATCTTTGGCGCCATTATACACAATCGATATTTCCCGGGCAATTTTCCTCTATATAAACCCGTCTTCATTCTCCCAATCCTCGAACCCTTCTCTCTGCAAATACCCAATTCGTCTCTCTTCTTGTTGCTCAGTTATAGCAATGGCTCAATCCGACCTGCAAAACTCCAAGCCTGAAATCAAAGAGCCATCCCTAAAGATTCAGAAGCTTGACCCTAATGGAGTTGCTTACTCTGAAGACTGTCAAACCACCCCTCTTCTGCTGGTTACAAAGCTCTCTGAGAACGCTGTTTTACCCTCTCGAGCCTCTGCTCTCTCTGCGGGGTACGATCTCTCAAGGTAATCGCACCATGTGTGTGTACAATTGAGTATTCAACATATTTGTAATACATCGATTGTTGAAAAATGTTATGGGTTTTTTTTTTTTGCGATGTATAGTGCAATAGAAGCCAAGGTACCAGCCAGGGGAAAAGCCATGATACCCACAGATTTAAGCATCGCACTACCTGAAGGAACCTATGCTCGGATTGGTAAATCTCTTTCTCTCTCTCTCGCTCTCTTTCTCTCTTCTATGTATATCTCTTTATGAATTTGTTGTATTAAAATAGGTTTATGCTGTTGTTGATGTATTGAGATGGGTTTATGGTTTTTTTTGTAGCACCACGATCGGGATTGGCATGGAAGCATTCGATAGATGTTGGGGCTGGAGTGATTGATGCCGATTATAGAGGTCCAGTTGGGGTGATTCTGTTCAACCATTCTGATGTTGATTTTGAAGTGAAGGCTGGCGATAAAATTGCCCAGATGATTATTCAGAAGATCTTGATCCCAGAAGTTGCTGAAGTTGATGATTTGGATTCCACTGCCAGAGGTGCTGGTGGGTTCGGATCCACCGGCGTTTGAAAATTAATGGCTGCAATGATTAGGGATAATATTTTGTAGTCTATTTCCCTGTCAATTATCATTTCTGGGTTTAAAGGCTTCTAGGCAAGCTAGTTCTTTACTAGAATGCTTTTTGTAAAAACTATGGTGGATCTATTGATCTCTTCAATTCGAAGTCCTTTTAGTGTATGAAAGAGGATTTCCAGTTCATGATTGTGCTTGTTCAATGCTCCGTTGCACTCTACAACTGAACATTGTATCTGTGCCAGAGTCTTGTGGATGGAAAAGGTTCTGTTATCTATTTGTGTAAATGTTATAACTATTGTAATGAATATTTTCTCGTAAATGGGGTGAGATAGTAGAGGCTATAAATTGAATTTTGCACAGAAATCTGCCAATTTCACCATCACTTGTATGGTTCTCATAGGTTATGGTGCACAGCACATTTAAGGGGGGAGACGGGCACAAGTGGAAATTTCTATCGAAGCTGTGATTGAGAAACAACAAAGATTTTGGTATTTCATTTTATTCTCGAAGCTAATATCAAATAACAAGAAAAAAACAATCAACTAGATAAATAGTGTATGTCATAGAAGTTTTTGACATCAAATGTATTACTTCCTCTTTTCTTATACTCACAAGTTCTATGTAATGTCTAAGCCCGCGGACGTGTATGAACGATTGAAACTTCATATCAAATTCCGTCCCTTAAGATGGAATCATCATTTGCTTGGTATTTTTGACACAGATCATGTCCGTCCCCCGGGGGGGGGGGGTGGCGGAGCAGCAATGCATAGACAGCCCTTGACATTCTGCACTCTTGTAAATCAGAGTTAATGCTCTGTAATTAGCAAGGCACAGCAGCTCTCCATGTACAATGACCAATGCATAAAAAAGCAGACGAGAATTCCGTTGCCGGGAATCGAACCCGGGTCTCCTGGGTGAAAGCCAGATATCCTAACCGCTGGACGACAACGGATTTGTTTGCTGATTGTACTGACATTAACAGTATCTAATAAAATCTTATCCTTTTTTTTAAATTTCGAGATATGCATCGTCACCAAGCTCTCATGCTGAGATAATTTATTCCTTGGTAAATCAGTTGGCTTAATGTCAACAGAGAGACACGACTAACACGAGCACAAGTTTTTTCGCCCTTACATTTTTTTGTTGTTGATTACATTATTTTGAGATTTTATGCAGTCAATATTATTATTATTTTACTTAATAATTTATTCGAGTTCGATAATATAATTAGATTATCAATCCACACACCTAAGCAGTTTAAATAAAGCTATTTGATTAGTCAGTTTGAGAAGTATTTTCTTATAATCTTTTTTTAATGGGTAAGTATAATTATAATTGAACCAAGGAAATTAACCCTTTCTCCACCTATAAATTTATACAATCATCATTATTGAGTAACATTCAATTTAAAGTCACAGAGAGATAAAATTGTTTTCTCGTAAGCATCTTTTGATCAAAAAATTTCGACGAAAGATTGTGTTTAAAGGTTTATGACAATAACTTCATGTATGTTAGTATATATTGTTTAATTTTTTAAAAGAATTTACGTCTAGTTCATGCATATTTTCAAGAACAAATTAATTTGTGAAAATAAATTGATTTTAGGATGATAGGAAAATTTTTAAAAAGAATTTAATTTTAAGAAGTAGCATGATTTTAATTTTTTATATTTTTTTCATAGAAGTTTGAATTAACGTGAATATGAGATTATTACTATTGTGCATGAGTTTAGAACACTCACGACCAACGTGGTAAAAACAAATTTAATTTTTTTTGGAGACTATTAAGGATGTAGCTTTGAATATTGTTAAGACTATTGAGGATGATAGTGTGATTGTTCAAGATAAATTAAAATTAATGTTAATAGAGAAAAAAAATAAAAAAATATAATTTAACCAAAAAATACAACTATTTATAAAATAGCATAGTTAAAATTTTTTCAAATTAAACAAATTTTACTATTATAAATTAGACAAATATTACACGATGCATGCCATTCGAATCAGAAAGAAAAAATAAAATAGCATTGCTACTATTATTAATATTTTTTTATCAAATTTGTTTACTTAAATATAAATAATTAAATCAATGTGTTTTTTTTTAGTTTTTTCTTATAAAATTTATTAATATACCGTTTCACATTTATAAATAAAATTTAATGAGGTTAACTATTGATCTACAAGTCACCGTCTCCATCGACAATAAAAAGAAAAAAACAAAATAAAATTATGNTTGCTGATTGTACTGACATTAACAGTATCTAATAAAATCTTATCCTTTTTTTTAAATTTCGAGATATGCATCGTCACCAAGCTCTCATGCTGAGATAATTTATTCCTTGGTAAATCAGTTGGCTTAATGTCAACAGAGAGACACGACTAACACGAGCACAAGTTTTTTCGCCCTTACATTTTTTTGTTGTTGATTACATTATTTTGAGATTTTATGCAGTCAATATTATTATTATTTTACTTAATAATTTATTCGAGTTCGATAATATAATTAGATTATCAATCCACACACCTAAGCAGTTTAAATAAAGCTATTTGATTAGTCAGTTTGAGAAGTATTTTCTTATAATCTTTTTTTAATGGGTAAGTATAATTATAATTGAACCAAGGAAATTAACCCTTTCTCCACCTATAAATTTATACAATCATCATTATTGAGTAACATTCAATTTAAAGTCACAGAGAGATAAAATTGTTTTCTCGTAAGCATCTTTTGATCAAAAAATTTCGACGAAAGATTGTGTTTAAAGGTTTATGACAATAACTTCATGTATGTTAGTATATATTGTTTAATTTTTTAAAAGAATTTACGTCTAGTTCATGCATATTTTCAAGAACAAATTAATTTGTGAAAATAAATTGATTTTAGGATGATAGGAAAATTTTTAAAAAGAATTTAATTTTAAGAAGTAGCATGATTTTAATTTTTTATATTTTTTTCATAGAAGTTTGAATTAACGTGAATATGAGATTATTACTATTGTGCATGAGTTTAGAACACTCACGACCAACGTGGTAAAAACAAATTTAATTTTTTTTGGAGACTATTAAGGATGTAGCTTTGAATATTGTTAAGACTATTGAGGATGATAGTGTGATTGTTCAAGATAAATTAAAATTAATGTTAATAGAGAAAAAAAATAAAAAAATATAATTTAACCAAAAAATACAACTATTTATAAAATAGCATAGTTAAAATTTTTTCAAATTAAACAAATTTTACTATTATAAATTAGACAAATATTACACGATGCATGCCATTCGAATCAGAAAGAAAAAATAAAATAGCATTGCTACTATTATTAATATTTTTTTATCAAATTTGTTTACTTAAATATAAATAATTAAATCAATGTGTTTTTTTTTAGTTTTTTCTTATAAAATTTATTAATATACCGTTTCACATTTATAAATAAAATTTAATGAGGTTAACTATTGATCTACAAGTCACCGTCTCCATCGACAATAAAAAGAAAAAAACAAAATAAAATTATGCGATTGAAACGAGGGTAGCGTGGTTGGTGTCTTGGTGAGCATCACGTTGAACCACGTGGCAAGCTTATCGTCTTCTCCACGCAAGTGGCCTCTCGAGAATCTTCCAACACGAAAACTACGCAAGAGCCGTTCGATCCGATGCTTTGCGAAAACGCTATTAATAGTCAAATGCCAACTCATATACGTTCACGCATATCTTGCCGTCCAAATATCTGTGGAGCATTCACTCACAACCGTTGGATCAATTCAGAGCGTCAATAAATAACGGTTATCATTTACATTTACAAATCATTTCTGTGTGGTTATGTTTCTTCGTTCATTTTCTTGGACCACTTCCTCTTCAGGCTTTCGTTTTTCTTAGATCTATTACTTCTGATCTATTGTTTTGAAATTCTCTCTTCGGAATTGATTAGATCGTTCAACGATCTACGCTTTGAGTATGGATTTGAGGGGTTTAGTTGCGCGATTCTTCTCCGATGGTTTCTCTAATCGATCTGGAGCGTTATGTCGTCGTTGTTCACACGGCCGCTGCGTTAGATCGATGGACGTCGGTTTGAGTTGAAAAGCTTGACGGATTCATATAGTTTTCCTTGAGATCTGTTTTACTAGGCCATGTTTTGTGGATTTTCAGTATGTTTATCCTTATTCATGAGTCTATTGGATTTTATTCTATTCTTGAAGGCCTGTTGATTGTTTCTCCTGGTCTGCTGCACCATCTCGTCTGTTCTTTGATAGAACACGAATTTGTCATGGCTTGTAGAGGTGAGAGTTTATGATATAAGTTTTTTTTTTCTTTTTATATGTCTGCCTTTTTCTGATACAGGTCTACTAACTATGTAATTATTGTGTATTTGTGCAGGCATCGGTTTGTTGGATCGGAGATTTTTGATCGAGATCTGTACGGGGCCTGTTTGGTTTTGGCGTCAAAGCTGCCAGATCCTGGATGGAGTGCTAAAGTTTGGATTTGAGGCTAAGAAGGCGTTATGAAAGGTTTCGTTTGATGATAATATTACCATCTTGACTTGTTTGAATGTGTCTTATGATGCCTTACGATGTCCTTCCGTTCATAATCATGTGTAGTGCTGCTGAGAGAGGAACGAGAGCACCGCGAGATTTATATTTTGGAGGTATATTATGTTCTTCGTTGTTGTCTACGGACCTTTGCCATGTCAGGTGCGCTTGCATGGCAGGTCAAAATCTACCTAATAAAATTTTCTTTTTTGCGTTTTGAGGGGAGATGGTACGGGGTTTTGCCCGGCTCTCCCTTCTTGTGTTGTGTCTTTCTTTTTCTTTTTTCTCCGTCCACTCTGCCCAACCGTTTCAACATCCACGGGTATTATTTGCCTCAACATCCACGGGTATTATTTGCCTCATGAGTGGTTATGGCTATGTCTATTTGGATAAGTGTAATGCTATTGAGACATAAAAAAATGGCCTAATTTGCTGACTTAGTGGTAGTGACATGATCCAATAATGGGATTATATCACTTTATACGTTATTATAATAGCAATTTAGGTCAATTTTTTAGGTCTTAATAGCATTATTCTTTGGATAATGAATGCTACTAAACCTATCACGGCAAATAAGGCATCTATCAACATATTCTGCAACATGAGCAAGCAAACGCAAGGATCGGATCTACTGCATCACTCTCAGCTTAAAGGTACAGCTACCAAAATCGTTCAGTTAATCTAGTTATTCTTCTTATTCACACCTGCACCGAATCACCATAAAACATAGTTTATGCAATATTTCAAAGCACACCATTAGAACTTTATTATCTTACTTCAGCCACAACTATACATTTCAAAAATTGTTGCTACCATAAACAAGTTTAATGTTGTCCAATCAAGAAAATAGTTCTTGTTCTGGCTATTATGACCATCAGATCTCGTTGCAAAAAAAAAAATGGCTATATTTACTTTAGATATGGTTATTTTTATCGGTTATTTTTATCCTGCAATTGTCAAGAAGTACAAATTTGCTTATCTCAATTAAGTAAAAAGTCTCCCAGCTGCCTGATTTCATCTGATGTTAATAAAAAAAGGGTTCACCCAGATACCTCGAAATTATCTTGACAGGTGATTACGAATGAATCAACAAAAATTTAGGGACAGTTAATTATTCCTTTTGTCCAGAATTTAATTTTTTTATAATGGATTTATCCTTCACGAATACTAAATTACTTTGTAATAATGTGGAAATGAGCATATATAGATTGTTCGAGAAAATCTTGTGATTGTTCTGTGTTTGATATCCCGGTTCACGTACACTGACGGAGAGTTATGCAACTGATGGTTACGAATGAACAAATCTAAATTTAGGACCACAATTCACTATTCTGCTTTGTTCAGATTATTTTTTTAAGCATAGCTTTATTCGTCACAAGTAGTTTATTACTTTGTAATAACGTGGAAATGAACACATGTAGATTGTTTCAGTGTTTGGTATTATTGAATGTTGTTTCCCCATTTAGTTTGGGGATAGGGAGGAAGTTTGTAGGGATGTGCGAAACTGAGAACGGTCTAGTCTAATAATAATACAGGATATTGTAAAGATACCGGTTCCAAAGGTTCTGTAAAATCATGATCCGGCTTAGGTGGAGTTGCTGAAGGTTCATTGACGGCTGCAATGGTCGTTGAATCAATGTTGCTTACCAGTTGCTGTGATATGATTGTAGTCTCTGTCAAATCATCACTGGAAGAGATGAATTGCTGCTGCTGCTGCTGTTGGATCTGTTAGTGTGCTGCGAAGGAGTATGAATGGTAGTTGATGATTTGTTTACTTCCTATGGAAAATTTTAACTCTGTTGACCGAGTTGAATTCTTACTGTTCCTCATTTGTTCTTGTCTAATAACCTCTCTGCTGATGATGTAAAGTAGGATAAATGGTGGTAATAGTGTTGCAAAAGAGATTGTTATGTTGTTTAACTTCATTTTTGTATTGTATAGTGGCTTACCAGATGGGTCTTTTGATTTGGTAGCATTTATTTTGCTATAGTTCGGAGAAGATTGTAGTATTAGTATTCTTATCTGACATGAAGGATGATTATTCAGTATTCTGGCTTTCATTTTGTAGTGTGTGCTTTTCTTAGGTGAAAGTAGACATTATTTGAGGTGGCAGGTGGTGGATGTGCTTGTCTCAGCATGGAGTCTAGTTGCGAAGGGAATTGCAGGGGCAGTTTTATACCACAGGCATCAATTAGGCTCAAGGTAAAATGCACAGCTCATCTGGCTACCTGAAAAAAATTTCGTTTTTATGCAAACACAGGAGGAACTGATTCTAAGTTGCAATTAGTGCACTCAGGAGTTTCTTTCCAGTTGAGCCATATAGTAATCAATAACTCGTGTTATATGTCGTTGCACACTTGGGGCTTGAGCTATATGGTAACGATGGTCTAATCTTTTTGTGAAATACTGATATCAAGTAATGAGGTGCTTTATGGCTTTACAGTGCAGCTCTCTAATTATATGGTTTTGTGGGTTTTCAGCGTCATACCAGCGTAAAAATGACTAGACATGTATAATTTTAATGTTGTATTTGGTGTTATAGTCGGGGAGTGTAATTGTCAATTTATTAGGTGTGGATGGGGAATTTCTCATTGTTAATTATATACTTTTTAACTATTTAATTCTGCCTTTTGTTATATGTTTCGTGTTGGTTGGGGTTTGGGATTGGGATCACAGATGACGTAGTTAAAGTAATCTGCTACTACAAATCCAACAATTTTTTGTAGTCCATAACCAAATCAGTAAATAATTAAAAACCCGAACCAAATATATATTTTAGTATTAAGATAAAAATATTGTAATCATATATGTGAAAGGATCAATGTCTTATTTTAGATTTGTAAGAATTGGAAACGTGCATAAAGGGAAAAAGAAAAAAAAAACGAGGAGGTAAAAGACTGGAGGGCTGTCCAAGTGATGCAAGCAGTATGGCCTTTTCAATGACAAAGGGGCAAGGATTTGGCTATAAATAGCCGAGTCCAGGCCCTTGAATGGTACAGCAATGAAGGAAAAAGGGAGAGCGGGAGATGGGTTAAAATTTTGTTGACCTAGCTTTTTGTCTTTCACAAAATTTTTGGATAAGAATCTTTTATTAATTTTGTAAATTTGAGTTACTTAAAATTGATTTTTATGCATATTTGGGGGTTTTATATCACAAGCAAGGTTTGCTAGTGTTTTGGTCTACCAGTTTCATAATTTTTCAGTGATATATGATCTCTTGCCTATCCTTTCTCTGATGGTCGAGAAAAAAGTAAAATTAAATGTAAAATTAGGGGTAGGTCTGTTGAATCAAGGATTTTATGTGAACGGTTCAAGTAAATTTGGTTGGGTGAAACAGTTTTTTCAAGTTAAAATGTCAATTTTTCCTTGATTATAAAGTTTCTTCTTTTGTAGTGACAGGCGTAAATTGTTTTATGCAATTTATTCATGTTTTTCTCTGAGTTGGTTAATCTAAATTATCTTATGATATTAGTTAACAGTCCTCTGCTGTTTATGGGTTCACACATAGTGTTATTAAAGAGTAATTCGTTACTGAAGGTAAGTGAAAATTTAAGAGGGATGTTGGTGGATGAGTATTTTATACTGTTGGACGGGCTTGTTGATTTTTTTTCTCTTTTATATTATAGATGCTTTTGGTGTTAATTCTGTTTTCAATTAGTATTTGAAAAACATTTTATTTTGGAAAACTGATCTAAAATGTGGACAAGTCTTTCTTTTCCGTGCTGAACAGTAGGCAAAGTAGTACATGGTGCCTATCCAAAAAGCCCCTAAAAACGGGTGTAGTTTCTGGTGCTTTTTACTATTTGTAGTCAACCTTTACCCGTCCACTCTCTGTTCCCTTTTCAAAACCCCAACAGAAAGGCCACTTCTAAAGAAGTTAATTGAGTTGGAATATAGCTAAATTGAACTGGTTATGCAATAATTAAACGTACCTCGTTTTGGGGGAGAGAGAGGATGAGAAGAAGAGAAAAAAGGGGGGGGGGGGGGGG